GGGCTTCATCCATCCCAACTGGTGCAGGCGCCCACTGGCCTGCCCGAATGTGAATATCTTGTGGAACCTTGACTCAACTGGACAATGGACAAACAACAGAACACTGAACTTGGGGATGGAAGCATCTAAGAAACCGAACCGAGCACTTTTGACAGGCGTTCCCTGATCCACGGCGTTGCGACAATTTCACCATTCCCCCGCAAGAAAAAAACACATGAAAATCACCCCCATGATTGGAGCTTGTCCCAAACAAGTGTTGCTCGTTACTATGTTTACGCTTGCTTCCCTGTTGGTTACCAGGAAGACAGTGACATGTATCCTGACACTACTCGAATTCCCTTCTACCCGAGATCCATTCAAGTCAATCAGCAAGCCAAGTGAACTTCTGCTTCGCCAGCGGGCAAAAGCGACTTCAAACGTGGCGCATTGGCTTTCTGCTTTCGGTGGGCGCAGTTGAGCCGCAATCGCGCGCAGAGACCACACGTCGCGCGCGAGGCGACCGAAGAGGCGTCTTGAATTTGCCCATGTCGTTGTCAAATCAAGTTGGACCTCGTTGGGGAGGGAACCTGACACCAACTTCCTAAGTTTTGAACACACACATGAAAAACAGAAAAGCCTTCCTGTGCAGTCGCCCTTTGGATCGGGCGAGCCTAAAAGTGCAAGCTTGTGGCTTGGTTCCAGTGACCACATGCAGTTCTTGCTGCCACGATTTTAGCGAGACCTTTCTGCAGAATCGCCGATCTTCGGCGTGTCTCTCTGGTCTAGCATGCGAGCCACGTGCCGGCGGTGATCATCGGCAGACGGGCTGAGTGTGGCATGAACTGCTTTGACCAATGCTGTACATGTGGTTTGATGATTGAACACCAACCACCCAAGCGGCGCCAACCAAATATTAGAATCATATATTTGTTCCAACCTTCCACGGGTGCACCCGTTCGGTGGACTTGCCATAGGCGGTGTATGCTTTAGCCTAACATCGACACTAGACCTAGGTTTAAGCCATTCTTGGCCAAACAATGTCACTGATACAAGCGGGCTCATCAAGACCACGCTTCAGCCCTCAGTTTGCCGTATCCTTGGGGAAACGCAAACTTAGTTCGAGCCATTTAGATGCTTCCCAGGCAACTCCAAGCTGAAAACGAGCTTGGAGAGTGACAAGGGCGCACCAAACATGTCTACATGAACCTGGCAGGCCCGAGGATTCCCCTGGAAGGAGAAGCCAGAAGGAAGCCGACTGTTTCAAGGTGCTCAGATCCACCGCTAAAAGTGACTAACTTTTAGTGGGTTAAATGGAAACCCCCACTAAACACTGAAAAGCTAAAGGGCTAAGGAACCGGATGGCTGGGAGCCGCCAAGTTGAGACACACCCAAACTGAGCACCCTCCAATGTCCTCCATCATGGTCATGTTTCCCTCGATGATGAACCACCACTCCTGCCCATAGGAAGACAGTGGCAATGTAGCAAAAGGGGCCACAGCAGCACCTCAACGGTAGGGAGTTGTGGGAAATGACACAATATCAGTGATACGCATGACTGCTTTGTCACGCTTCACGTGTCACCAAGACCCACTTCCTCAATATGTAAATCAACACCCAGCATCCTCAAGGCAACCCATTCAGGGGCCTCCAAAACGCATCGAAGTTGGCATGCTTAGGGTACCCTCGCGCCCACTGCCATGGCAACTCCTATCAAAAGGCGACCTGGTGGGTTCCAAATGCCGCAAGTGAATGGTTCCCCCTTTCAAAGGATTTCTACAACCACACCATTGAATCAAGGCCCCCCGACAATATTATGTCTCCTGAAATCTGGGGCCGTCTGCCCGCCTCTCTGTCCTGACCAATCCCTATGCTTCCAAAGAACATTAAAAGTATGGGCGAGAAGCAGAGGCCATAAAATGGGTAAAGACCTATAAATGGAGGCTATAAACGGGGATTGTACAAAGTTGGCTTTTCTGGTCCTATCGGTAAGGCAAGCAGGTTGAGAAGTCAACCAGCCAAGCGCCTAAGAATGTCACATAAGACTACATTTGAGTGCGGGTGATTGCCAGGATTGTATGCCTGCTTTGCGGATAAATATTGTCGGCCAGACCATCATTATGACAAGCAAGCTGATCAAACCGGCTGTGCTTACTCCTCAGCTAGTTCCAGCATTTTTTTACGCGCGCGAATTTGCTAGACTCCCTGTTCAATGAACATATGAAATTGGGTGCTTTAGTCTTTTTTGCTCATAAGCTTTAGACAGCGGAGTTTGAAGGTCCAATGCGTTGCAATCGTTTTCTCAGAAAAATAACAAAAAACACGGGGTGAGGTTGGGGGGTGTCCTCACTTGGCTTTGCCGAAGGCAAAATATCTGATGAATGGTTTTGCCTGGGAATTGTTTGCCCGCAACCAGGGCCTGTCCACAAGGGAGTTGTCCATGCCGTTTTAGGGAGTTGTCCACGCCTTTTTATGGTCGTTCCACGCCTTTTTGTGGTCGTTCCACGCCTTCTTATGGTCGTTCCACGATTTGTCCATGGTTTGTCCACGCTACATGTTCTTCAAAGAAAACAATGTCTTCATCGCAATGCTTGCGCCGGGTGCATGCAGCCTGTGACTTGATGAGTGAAGGCAAAGAAAAAGCGAGCAACACAATATAACAGAATGACAACGTGCACACACTATCCAGCCAGCCAAACGGGGCTTGGACGCACCAGCAGGTTTACAGAACTCGGTTCCACTAAAGTCCAAATGATCCGCATAAAGTAGCCGGGGCCCGGCGCGTAGTGTTCAAACATTCCTGTGATCTTCGCTTGAAACTACTTTGCCTTACCAAAGCGAATGCAGCTAGTATGGCTCTACAAGGCTCAAAGTATTTCGTTTGTGTCAAATCCGAGCGCAAACGATCAGACATGTACGCCGATTGAAATACGATGTATTGAGCGTTGCGATTCAGTCAAAGCAACGGCGCAATCACATCCCAAAAAATAAGATCCAAAGCAACTCTTACTCGGCCAGTCAAATGATGCCTGCGACCCTCATTCCTTTTTATGGTCGAGGGACATTACCAGCAGGTGGTTTCCGCAGTTTATGGCCTAGACACAAAAAAGTATGGTCGAGGACGCCCAGGGAATAGCGTTGCAAGTTAATCAAGCAACCGTGTCTTCGATTGAGCCCCGCAAATGGTTGGGCCGACTGTGCTTTCCCTAAAAACACTCATGTCAGTTTCAGTCTTCAACTAAAGCATCCTACTTCAGGCGGTGCAGAGGAGAAACCGTGGTACTGGCTCTTCAATTTGACCACCTTAAAAATGAGGCGTCGGTGAGCAAAAGCCATATCTCAACATCTTTGATCTTCCAGTTGGCTGACATCCTATAAATTGCAAATTTGGGATATCGCTTGAGCAACCCCTCGCCATGAGGCGGCATTGGGCTGGCGGGTTTGTTGCGGGTTTGTTGCAGGATCCGGATCCCGAAGCCGGCAAGCCGGCTTTGGAAGCACTCGCCCGGTCTTCCCCCGGAAAAAAATCAGAAAGGACACCTCGCACCTCGAAGGTGCAGAGATCGTCATCCAAAGCCTGGAGGAACCCCAACGGCCCAACCACACGTTGCTTGGAGCCCAACCTTTTCCATCAGTGGGAAGCTCTCCAAAACTCAGAGCTGGGCCAATCCCCCAATGCCTATAGCCTATAGAGTTCTTTCGTGTCGCAGATTTTTCGGATGTCTCCCAGACTTGGAGCCCATAGACTTGGGCGACTGCAAGGGGAAAACCGGAAAACCTGACTGGTTGGAACCGGAACAGGCGAGTCACAGGAACGCACAGACATACCTGTTGCTCCTTCGAACTTCTCAAGTTCCACGTTTCCCAGAAGTGCGACCCTGCATTTTCGCTTGGCTGAATGAATATCACTGGTGAATCACGAGAGAATAATAAGAATCAGATCCTGATCAAAGGAAACACAGATTCATATAATAACATATTCATACTACATATTATGCATGTATGTGTGCTCATTTATGTACATACAGTACTGTCTCAAAATTAGTAGAAACCAAACAAAAATAGTTGGCTTCAGGTGCATGTCGATTTCGCTGTTGGCCCAGAACATACTGCTTTTTCATGGAGGGTTTGCCTGCGTTTCCCTTTGTCAATAACTTTAGCATGGCATTTGAGGAGAACTTAAAGTTCTTTTTTGTGCGGGTCTTTCCAAGATTGGTCCCACCAAAGGTTTCATTTTGGCAGCCGATATGGCTGTGGGTCAAAACCCTGTACCCCTGGTGAACATCAAACAAACGGTGGTACATGGGTGAACAGGCCGCCCCAACATGGAGGCATAGGTTATGACCCATGGCCACATCTGCACACTGAGTCTTTTCAGCACAGCGGGACAAGCTGCGAGCTCATCCCCAGCTTTGTCTTGAAAGGAACCCGGCTTTGTCTCAGAAGCAGGGACAACACTCAAAATCCGGGACGCCATACATCCGTTTGGCTTTTTCGGTGGAAACATGCAGATACGTCTCAAAATGAGCAGGTCGCATCAGAGGGTGTTCTAATCTCGAGACGTATGTGGGAAGCGAATGCCTGCTTGGAGGGTCCCTGATTCTGCGGACAAACCCTTCTTGCAAGCCCACCGCACGGAGCGCATGCACTGCACTCTCAGTTCAAGAGCGCGGTTGCAATTTGCGTGTGCGACGGGTTGCAAAGACTGTCTTGACCCAAGGCTCGTGACATGGTGCGAGCCTTTGGGCGCAAAGCGCTTGACAAGCAACGCAGGCTACATCACTCGGGGCCTTTGGCCCTTGCTCGCACTTTTTAGCATGCCCTGAATGGGGCAGGGTTGCTCTGACCGATCATGAAACTCAGGGGGACCCAAGATCAATGGTGAAAGTGCGATTCGTTGCTTCCAGGTTCGGAGCAATTTGGTCCAACATGGTCGCCCAAGGTACCTGGAGAATGGAGGAAGGGCTCCCAAACTCGCTCCAAACTTGGGAAGATGCCCAGCAGAGTTGCATGGTGGACGCTTCTCACTCAACTTCCAGCAAGCTCAAGGCTCGTTGCCATTGCCCACTCCTCCGGCAAGACCTGACAAAAAGCACTGGGCCAGGGTCTGACGGGAATCTTCGGAGTCTTCATGTGCGTTTCTTCTTAAACTAGTGCGGTTTTGGTTGGCTTCACCTAAGCTCGTATCCGGAGTGGATGGCCCAAAACAAGTCCAATCTTTGTGGTTGTCTGTGAAATGGTCTTCCCAAAAAGTGACAAAATCAGAGTCCAGAACTCAAGACTAGGTCCTAAAAGGCAAGCCTACGCTTTTTCCTCCGCCTTTCGGTTTTTTCGGACGCCCGCCTCACCACGGCCTTCACCAGCGACGTTTCCAGAAGGGAAAATGTCTTCGCCGTGCTCAGCAGGTCCAGGGCGTGGCGCCAGTGGCTGGACCGCTCGCAGGCGCCCATGGCGGCACCGAAGCTCAGGCCGCTGGGACGCACCTGGCCGCTGGGGCCAGCTACGGGTCCAAACCAAACGGGTGGCGGTTTTCCGCTGCCATGAACCCAGACTAGGTCCTCCAGAGAGGATGGAATAAGGGTACCCGATGTTTTTTTTCTGTAGGGGAACCCTCCCCCAAAAAAGGGGAGAGAAAGGGCACTAAAGACACCCGCAAACGAAGACACCCTGAAAAAGCTGGGAAGAGCTGTACCGCGGGTATTTGGGTTCACGTCTAAATGCACCATTTAGGCGCCCATGACCATATACCTGCAAACCCCAAGGCAGGTGCTTTGCCCCGCATCTGCGTTTTTGGTAATCCCCACTTCAATTTGGTCTTCAGAAGGTGACCTGTGCAAGCTCGACCATCTCGACCTTTAAACAGGGAAACACCGTATAGGTATTATAAGGGATCATCTGTTGTCACATGTTCGACCTCCATACTGTGGACGAAATCCTGCACCACCTAAGAAACCCTTGTTTCTGATGATTCCCCTGTAGATACCAGCAAATAATGGTTTGGTGTGGTTTCAACTTGGCGCGAAACGGTTTCGTCCATCCACAGTATCACTTGCTGGTTCCATTTCCTTCCCCCGGGGTCTGATTTGGTTCCTAGTGCCCCAAAAGCCTGCCGTCGGGCCATGAGCGCGAGGAGCTCTGCGGTATGTTGGCCCGGCGTGTTGGCCAGGGCAGCGTTGAAGCTGACCACGTTGGGCTGGACCTGGGAAGGCGCAAAGGGACCGTTTTCTAGTTGGTTCACCCCCCAACCCGCTTGAAAGGCAAACAGAGCGTCACCAAAAACAGGTCGGGGGTAAGAAAAGGGTCGCAGGGAGTTGAAGCATTCGACCCGATCGTCACAAGGAAACAGGAAAACATAAACGGCCCAATACCAAGGTTCTAGCCTCTTTGAGGCTCGAAGCAACCCCGTTGAAGCGCCAATTCAGTAGAATTCAATTGGGCCAGGTAGTCAATTGAGTGGATTGGCCCAAACAAGTCCACACTGCGTTGCCATGACACATGGTTGTGCCAAACATAATAATGAGGTGAGGAAGGGAGTTTAAAGCAATGTCCCATGAGGAGACGAGCCACTACATTTCAATTGTAGTGTTTCGTCTTCTCATCAAACATTGGTTTAACTCAGTGTACAGTATGATGTTCAGCTGCCAACAAGTTCCGCTATAGCTACATGTTGCAAGGCGCATGATACATTAGCCTTTGCCCATGGAAAATGGGGGAATCTTCCCAAAGGTGCAGCTTCCCTCTGGCTTCCGAAGAGGGCATTGCATCCATTAGAGGTATGCTAGCTCCTCCAGATTTGAGAGCTTGGAATACGGGTACCCGATTTTCTTCTGCTTTGTCTATTTTAGTAGGGGAACCCTCCCAACCAAAAAGGTGTTGAGAAAGGGCACCTAGCTGGGGGACCTTGTATATACCCGCCAAAAACTCACACCCATGTGCCTGCGCTTCAGGCATTCCCAGAAGAAGATGTAGCGCAAGTTCCCAGCGGCAGCTCGAAATCGCCGCGCTAAAGCTGACCACGTCCGCCTGAGAAACGTTGCTTCTTTTTTGTTGCCCGGAACGAGTCGCCTGGAGTCACCCTACTGTGGATGGACGAAATCCTGCACCACCTAAGAAACCCTCGAATGATGTTTGCCCCTGCAAATAACAAACTAACAGTGACTTCCCTGATTCCAAGGTGGTGAAGGATTTCGTTCATCCACAGTGTTACTAGTTGGAACATGAAACAACCGTTTACATATGATGGTTTCCCAAGCAACCAGGCCTTATTGATGGACAATGGCAGCTTGGGAAACCGTCATGTGTAAGTGGTTGTTTCAGGTTCCATGTAGGTTCATGGTTTTGAACGCGCCAAAGCAACATACATGCTCGGACAAAAGTGTTGTCAAGCAAATGTTGTGCTTGTTCATATTCGAAAGAATCCCACATTTGTTTGGTTGTCCCGTATCCTATGATTGATGTCATACGGGGGTTCCAAAAACTTGACCCCTCACAATGGCTTTGCGGTTCCCTTGTCTTCCCAAGAACTATGTAGCCAATGTACCAGTGTGGGACACAACGTAGCTGCCATTTATTCATTTGGGATCCTGAATGTTTCTCCTGAAGTTGCAGGGTAAGCCGAACTGCCTGGTGAACTTTGTTTGACCATCCTCGCGAAGCCTTTGTTTTGAAGGCGGCCATGGTTTGGTTATTGACTTAACCAACTTAGCCCAACATAGCTGCCTTCGCAACCAAAAGCGGGGACCTCTATCATTGAGTGGTCGCATGGTTGCTTCCTCGGGGCGGCTGTCTCATCGCCATGCAGTCCGCCGATCCGCCAGTTGGCTTAAGACAGTTGGCCGAATCCGAAGCTTCCCTGTTCGAAATCCACCAACAGCCCCTGTGCCCATGGGAAGTTCATATTTCTTTGGCAAACTCCCCTGCCCTTTTTCACATGGAACCGAAACATGGGGGTCCGCAAAACGGTGATTCCGAAACGAAGACAGGGTGATTGTTTAGGTGTCATGAACAAATTTGCAGGGAAGAAGGGGACGGTCACAAAGACAACACAACTGAGCAACTTGGAAAAGCCATGGGCAGAGATGTTGTTTCTCCTGCAGGGTGTTTTTCCTCATGGACTAAACAGGGCTGTGAGGGCGGGGTATTCCTTGTTCACCGGCCCCCGAACAAGGTCGTATTCAGAGCTTACCCTTGGCTTGTCCTAGGCTTCAGGGATAACCCCCCCATAGCCCCCGCCCAGGGGGCCATGACGCCTGGAGCTTCTTCAATGGCATCTCCGCCAGCAGATTCAGCGCCTGCTGCCAAACCTTGCGGCAGGCGCTGATCGCCGCATTGCAGCTCACCAGGTCCATTCCGCCCGCCTCTTCTTGTACCTCGCGGGTCTAAAACTTGCTGCTGACGTCTCTGCAAAAAGTCCTCAAGCTCTTGGTCCAATACGGAAAACCCCTTGCGGGTCTGGACTTTCGAATCCAAAACTGGAGGTTGCAACCAAACTAAAGGGCACCAAGCCCTTCTCAGGTTCCTTTTGATGTGCCCTATCATTCTTTGAGGGGGCTGCTGCACATCGTCGCTTTCGCACCTCCGGGGTAAAATGCATGCGGACAAGTCCGAGCACCAGAAATGCTAGGGCTGGGTAGTCGACCCTTGGGGCTAAACATACTTTACATGCGGTTTGTCCGGCAACCATATTGGAGGGTGTCGATCCAAACTTAGGGGATGGGGCGACACACCACCTAGCAGGGATTTGCGTCTGTTGACGCTGCAAAGATGTGGGGAGGGGGGGGGGGGGTATCAATGAACTGCCAACATGATTTGAGGCATTTTCCCAGCTGCGAGCAAGCCACACGGTGAGTTGTCTAGGGTTCTGTGTTTGGAAACAAACTTGTGTCAACTGAAGCGACGAATAGATGGTTCAAGGCCTCGGGGATCTGATAAAAGTCCAGCTGTCCACCCGCTTCGAATCGCTTCGACATCCGGCCTGCAGAAAGTGCAAAGCTTGCTGCCACTGCAAGCCCTTCTCACAGGCACTGATCGCGGCTGAAAAGCTGACAACATCCGGAGACACCTGAAAATGAGGCGAAACGTTTCTACGCCACCGAACAGTTCTGATGATCGCTTCTGTCAAACAAAAACTCAGCGATCATAGGAACAAGCTCACAATCCCCCCCATCCTTTGCACGTGGCTGCCTATAGGAGGTAGGCATCCTGAATCACTGCGGAGCCTGTTGAAACACGTTTTCAGTCATGCCTGAAAGGCTATTGTTTTGCACCCCGAGACCCTCTGGGCCTGACGATTTGAGGCCATTGCAAAGTTTGAAACGCACCCGTCTGAAACAATTGCACCCTCTTGTGGGCGCCCCCTTCCAGATTGTTCATCTTGATGCCTGCCAAAACCACAACACGTTGAAAGAAGCTATCCGAATGCCACGTCACCAGCTCAATCCAGGCAGTTCTCATGAACCAATGCTCCTTAACTGATACCCCTGAATCCGCGGCGTGGGACTGCCATAAGCCCATCTGATTGTCTCCAATCCCACAAACACAGCCAAACCAACAAAAGAAGGCTGCAACAACCAAACCCCAAAGAAGCTCTAGAAAACCGCTTCAGAAGCTGTAGGAGAAAACCCAAAGCTAGAGAAACCACATATCAAACTCAAAGCAATGGACTTGGACCCACTCCTCATCGGCTGAGTGGATGGCCCCAAAAAAAAAGTCCAAACATTTTCTCTACCACGAAAACGGTCCTCCCAAAAAAAGTTTACAGTTCATGAACTCAGGAAGTAAGTTTTTTGGGTGCGGCTTTCAAGGGAAGCCCAAGGAAAACCCACAAACACATGGGAATCCCCCGATTTAAAGACACGGGTCACGGGCTGTCACGTGCTTGTTTTTCTCGCCTGGTTGGAGCCCATGGCTCCAAAGAGCTGCAGCGCCATTTGCCAACAACTCCCCGCAAGCAGGGCGCTGACGCCCGCGCTGAAGCTGATCCTGAGACGTGAGCGGCCCCGCCACACGGTTTCAAGAAGCCTTGCCATAGGTGTCCTTTTAGCTTGGAAATAGATGGCCCTGGTAGATGATTACACCTCCAAATAAGCCAGGGCCACCGATTTTCCGAGCAACACACCCAAAAAAGACACCTATGATCACACGCAGCCTGCAGAAAGTTGAGAAGGTCAATCCTTCAGGAAACCCAAAGGAGCAGAAGGGCCAAAATGTTTGCTGCAAGTCGAGGGCAACTTTGTGGGGCATGATGTGAAGGAACCTTTGCATTGTGCACATTCCCTGGGTTCACAAGCATCCCGACACAGGTTGCGCCAATCTTCTTTGAGCCTTCTCTGGCGACAGGGAATCTTGGTGCACAAAGGCAACCACAAAACCCGTTGCCCACAACCAGAAGGTCCAATCGCCTGAAGCACATCCAATCCCATCATTTCCAGCTCGAAGCATTGGGTTCCCTATCCCAGGACTAGGTCCTCCAGATTTGAGAGGTTCGAATAAGGGTACCAACTTGTTTCTCTCGTTTTTTCCGTTTTCTCTATTTTAGTGTGGGGTAAAGGGCACTAATAGGTCCCCCTAGTCTTGTTGTGTGGAGAACCCCGCCTAAAATGGTGGGGTTCCTTGTGGTTTCCCAAAAGCCGAAAGAGGATCCCCCCAAAAAAGAAACGGTAAAAGGGCACCTAGCTGTAAAAACCTTGAGGAGGTGAATCACATCTCCCCGAGGATCACATCCGCCCGCACGCGGCGGAGCATCATACGCTGCAGCAGGTTGAGAGCCGCCTGCCTCAGGCACCAAACGCTGTTCAGTGGCCGGGTGTTGCACCCACAAAACAATTGTGAGGGTGTGTTTCACTAAAAGGATGGAATCCCTTTTCTGGTGTGTTTCTGTGGTGGAATCCCTTTTCTGTGTTTCACAAAACATTTTTCAAAATCAATTGTGACCCTGAGGGTGTGTGTCAAAATTTGCCCAGAGATGGGTATGGGTCAAAATAAAGCCACCAGGAATTGGACCGCAGGTTTTGGTCTTTGGCTCCATTTACCAGGGCAAGCATTTTGGGTGACCCACAGCCACTGGGCCAGGGAGACCCAGCTACTCCCCAAACCCCCAAGTGGTAATTACCTTCATGGGAATGTCATCCTTTGTGAAAAAAAAACTGATTGCCATTGCTAAAGTCGCACTAAAAGGATTCCACCACGGAAATTGCCTAGACCTTTAAGCCGATGCTCCAGGGAGACCCGATGGTAAGCTTCCAAAGGCTGAGCCAAACTTAGCCCAGAGCAGCTTGCTGGTTGACAGGGGAAACAAGGGATAACCCGAGCCTACATCTGGCAAACAGGGGGGCGTTCCTGGCATACAGTGGTCAGCAAGCAAGTTGGTTCCGAGGTTCGAGCTGAGATGTGGGTTTGCTACTGGCAGAAAGCCACAAATATCACTTGCGGAGAAGCAGCTTTCAGCGCTCTCCGCGACACCGTTCCTAGGGCAATGGTCGACGCCAAACCTCGCCGCATTGCCAAGGATAGGCAGCTCCGCCAAATGCCGCGGCCACTTCTTGGGCCAGCCCCCATCGAAAACCCGCACAGTTCGCGCTTTCCTTCAAGAAGCATCCAAAAGGGTCATGACTTCTTGGGCACCCATGGCAGTTGCGCTTTGACAGCTTGGTTGGTACGGGATTTCGTTGCTGGGCGTTCTGGCAAATCCTGCGGCCGCCTTGCATGTAGGGCATATTTGCCACTTGATGCTTTCCTCGCTGAACCTGGTGGTTGCGTCTCATGCATCTCTACGTTCCAGCGTGTTCATTGCGAAGGTAATTATTTACAACAAAGCGCTCTCCAATTGAAACGTTCAATTGCACATTGAAGGCGAACCAGGTGGAGTAAAGTGCCACCCCATGTTGCCTCCTTGCCTTTTCATGGAAGGACAAAGCCCCGCCCGCAAAACAACAACCTGTAGAGTGTGCTGCTACAGCCTGGCTGGGGAAATTTGCATGTTGCTTGTCTCCATTCCGTGAAAAAGATCCCTTGGCGGTTTCCTGGGATTGTTTTCCATGGTCTGTCTAGCAGCTCATTGATCGGTTTCGCTTTCAACACCCACCAGGTCTCAAGGACACCCTCCGATATGAGCTAAACACTTTGGTCAAGGCTTCTTGCCACGGATGACCAGGTGTGCCTCCGAATTGAAAATTCAAGAAGAGCACGCAACACAGTTGGTTTCCTTTTAAACAGTAATTAGGCCAGGCGCTCTCAAATCAACGCCAGGCCTGAAAGAAATTGCGGCTGGAAACTTCCGGGCTCCCAGAGCTCCACTCAAGTAGCCAAGAGCTTACCATGGCAAGCGGCGTGCCGCGAAAATCCTGTAAACGAGGGACTGCGAAGGCGGGAAACTGACTGCCAGATCCGCCGAGTTCAAAAAAAAGGAAGCCGCGCAAACTTGGGCGTTCGGCCAGAACACCCAAGCAAGGAGGAAGGCAGCTGAGTGCGAAGAAATCCTGTTGTCACACCCGCTGCTGGCGCCTCCACGGCAATGGTTGTTCTTGGTATGCTGCAGTTTCTGCGACTGCGCGTCAGACTGCTGTCATTGGGAACAGTTCGAACAGTCTGGGGTCACTGGCTCAAACAAGATAAACCATGCATGGGTTCAATACTCAGCAGTGAAACTTTGCTTGAAAAAGGGGTCTGCACATGTTTGAAAATGCGCCACTCCGTTCCAAAGGGCTTGTCTAGAAGCCAGGCCATCTTTTGGGCTCATGCCAGCAATGTCCTTTCTGAGTTGATCCAATGGACAAATCGTGTAGGTGAGGCCTGTCTCTTCCCAGTGCTCGCTTGGCGACACAAATGGGTTCTTTGCAAGGCTCTCATTGAGAAACGGAAGCACAAAAGAACCAAACCACCTGAACCGAGAAAAGTGAAGCTCTGCTAAACGGACAAGGCTGGCCGGCGTTGCAGCGTTCATTTTCGAGCTGCAACTCAGGTGCTGGAAACCCGATCTAGGGTTTCCGGAAAATGTTCCAACTAGGAAACTTGCCGCCAAAGTGTGTGCAACATGGACTCCACGGTGTTGACCTTCCTCGCCGGACTCGGGCTGCGACTTCCTTTGCCGCCCAAATCTCTACGCTTCTCGCGCACGGCTTGGGTCAAATTGCCCGGCCTCCGCCGCACGTCCTTGAGGAATGCAGCGAGCCTCGCCTCCCCGTACTCGTGGAGCAAGCGATTCGGGGGGAAAGCTGTGTCCTGAGCAAGAAAGAGTCTTTACTTCAGCTGTGGCAAAAGCCGCACGAATTCCAGGTCCAGCCAGATTTTATCCTAAGCTTGGCCGGAAAATAATATGTTCTGATTCTGTTCTGTACTCAGTCTACCCTACACTGCTACATGTTTCATTCAGCGCACCTTGAACTTTCAAGCAAAAACAAACGCGTCGTTCCCAGCTTTGCTCCCTCAGTGCTCGAGAGGTCACCTCATGCTCAAATGGGAAGCAACACCAGCCTCAAATCCGAACAATTCCGAAAAAATAGTTCCCATGATGCGTGTTTCTTTCGTCTTCGGCATGTTGGCATTTTTCGTCTTGACCCAGTTTGCGTTGTAATGTGGCTGTCGCCTCGGGCATGCGTTGATTTCAGCAGGGGTCCAGCGCTACTTCAAACTAGAAGACAAATCGCCCAAGAGGCTTTCTAATGTGTGCGAGCGCCAGTCCAACAGAACTACAAGTGAAACAATCGCGGACCGTGTGCAGATGTCAGTACCTGGTGGCCTCTAACATGAAGGCACTGGAGTCACTGGAGATGAGCAGCAAACGGCGTACGGGGATAAGAATTGGAAAGCGGGGCTCTGAATGAACTTGATTTGTTTAGCAAACATTCGGCAAGTGGTTGGCAAGTTATAGCACGTGCCAGCAAATTGTGGCAAACGGTGGAAAACGCATGCATGCACATGCAGCACATTCGCATGAAAATAATGTTGTCTGCGGGCAGTGAGCATTAGTATCGCGGAAGTCCGATTCTGGCTAAAACAAAGCAACAGCAAGACCTGCCGAATTTGGCAACTCCTGCAAAACCAGGCATTGTTGCCTGTTCTTTGCCAGGGCATCTTCGGGAGGCATTTACACATGAGCCACCACAGTTCATTGCGTCAAGCATAGGATTTCGGTGACGCGTGTTGCCCCATGTCCCCAATTTCGATGTGAGCAAAAGTTCAAAGGCGCCCATTGCTAGGTCCTCCAGTAGAGAGGTTAGAATCGGATAAGGGTACCCTTTTTGCCGTAGTCTATTGTAGTAAGGGAACCCTCCCAACCTAAAAAAGGTTGGTAAAAGGGCACCTAGCTGGGGGACCTTGATTGGATTCTGAGCTGCAGGATGATCTCTGCCGTCCGAACGGTCATAGTAGGAGCAGCGCTTCGTGGGCCACTCCTGCACGCGAAATCAAAGTCCCGAAGCTCAGCTAGGGAGCCCTTCTCAGAAAAGGGATTCATTCCATTTCGAGTTGGGAACTCAAAGACAAGAAAGTCAGAGGCCGCGGCTGATGGGGTCTGCCTATGGCAGAGTGCGCATTCAGCATCCTTTCATGGCTCCTAGTGAACATCAATAACAAGTTTGGATGTTCCATATTTTGTCAACCCTAGAACAGAACTAATTGTGGAGACCCCAGCTTTGAAGTGTAGGGAAAAATATGTCCGCTTCGGAATTTGGAGGAATGTGAGGAATGACATCCTTCATCCTGGCAAAGGGAATTGCAGCCAGTTGGTTGTCGGCAAGTCTGGGTCTTTGCCCAGGAAGATGTGAAGCTCAGCACAAGCAATCAAGGCGTGCCCCGGGACTTTCGTTGCCGCCGGCTCTCTTTCCGGAAAAAGACACGATTAGAGTTAGGCCCAGAATGTATATTTTATTGTTTGCTTCACTTTGAGTCGCCAGTAAAATGTAAAATTTATCCTACGTCTACCCCAGAAGAGTCAGCCGCAGCCAACTCACTGGGACTAGGGCTGTGCCAACCGTCTGAGTCGAATCCTGTGGCCAGGCAGGGCCCTTTTGGGCAATGTGACGCAGAAACCCGCGCCATTCGGCTGCTTTAGAAACCGTCTGCATGCTTGCCATGAGCCAAGAAGTCCACACAATGCGCCAGGTGGCTCGGCAACTTGGGGCAAAATCTCGTTATTTTTTTTTTTTGTAGGACCAGAACAACAAGCTAGCCATTGGGAGCGATGACCCAAAGTAGAAATTAGAGCTAGCAGGCCACAATGCCGGCTTTGGGCAAGTGAGGCGAGTCAAGTCCTGTTCAGTTCCCTCCAAAAACGCTACTCCCCAACTGCCAGAAGTTCAATTCGTCAAATGGGGCTGAAAGGGTGTAAGCGCGCACGCGTACTTCCGTGCTATGCTCATTATGGCGAGTTGCGACTTAGTTCGAAGTTGTTCGGCGCATACGGTTTCAATGGCGGCTGAGAATGCTTCCATACAAATCAGGGCTGGTTCCTTGGTAAAAAAACGATACACTATATATATATATACATATGTATCTGTTGCAGGGGCCTCTGGTTAAGGTCCCCCAGATTGATCCGAAGTCACCGTGACTGCTTCCCAATTTCCTATGCGAATAGCTTTCCTTGTCGCAGCCTTGAATACAGTTGGGCAATAAAACAGCTCTGGCGCAGCTGTCGATTAACAAATTGTTGGGTCTGTCCAATAAATTTGCGAAAGAGCTTGTTGGGGATTATCAAATGTCATCACCTGGCGTGTTTGCCCGTTTTCAAGGTTATCTGATTTGCAGGGCACATTTTTTGAGCGGTTCTGTGAGCTGCGCCGGTGAAAAAAAGCTGAAACCCGGCGAGCGCCTCCAGAGCGGGCAGGGGCTCGTCCCCCACGGAGTCGTCTGGCTTGATAGGCGGAGACCTCAGCCCAAAATGGCTTGCCCGATCGCTAAATGGCTTGCCCATCGGACTAAGACCTGCTGTCCAATTCTTGGCTATTTGTTTTTTGACCCATACCCAAATTTGGATGTTGTCCTCTACGACAAAAAAAAAGAAGAAGAAGCCAGCTGCTTTCACCCTAGAAAAAGGCCAAGCTTTTGGACGGAAGCTTTGCAAATCGCTTGGCAAGTGACATGGGCTGTCTAGAACTCCTGGGCTTGGTGTCCTTTTGCCTTCCCACTCGAGAACGTTCAGGAGCCTTCCCCGGGGCAAACCTCAAGGCTTCAACTCGCGATAACTCGTTTGAGGAGCCAAACGGGGCTGAACCGAAGACGGGCGCTAGGTCACATACAATCAGGCATAGAACCCGTACCGAGCCTTGAAAGAAAAAGAACGGGCAATGTTTTGTTTTTGCTGTGTTCGCAAGGGAACATCAAGTTGGAGCCAAAAGCGTAGAGAACACCTCCTAAAAGCTAAGAGTTATTTTGCTATACCTGGGATTACACCCAAATTACACATTTCCTTATTTCAATATATTTCCAGGAAACAAAACCGAGTTCCCGTGCACGGTGGAATAGGCGAATCCTCGAGCCCTTGGTTCCAAATGATCTGCGACAGCCTGAAGCAATGCAAGTGCCAAAAAAGTAAAGCGACACAGAATTAACGCATTGGTTGCCCCCTCTTTCAGTCACCAAATAAACCGCGCCATGCATCCTAACTCCACGTACCGCAGGATGCTGACCACGGACCACTGGCTGCCCGCTGGTATTCAAACCACCCCAAAGCTCAAATTCTAAATGCATTGGCCCAAGAAAGTCCAACACATTTTTTCCACTAATTAACACGATCTTCCTCAACCATGAATGCATGCACGCATGCCTGCCTTCCCGCCTGCGTAACATGGGGTGGGTGTGCGTGTGCGTGCGCCTGCGCGCGTGCGTGCGCGTGTGCTGGTGAACTTGTCCCAAAGCAAGTGGGCCCTGTGCATGGTCTCGTTTTTTCCCCCATCGAAAAGGGGGTCCTTGCGTCCTTTTTTGGGCCCGCAAACGCCCAAACGCACCCAAAGTTTCTGGGAGAAATGGCGGTGGGTCAAAAATAGGTACCCAAAATGGAACCCTGGTAAATGGAACCAAAGACTAAAACCTGCGGTCCAATTCCTGGTGGCCTAATTTTGACCCACACCCAAATGGCGGTCCCATCATTCCAGGTCCGAAAACCCAAACCCGTTCATCCCAGTTGCAACTGGGCGATGAGGAAGGCGGCTTGCGCGGGCGGCATGGGTACGAAGCCCCCCAAACTTTGGGGCCGTTCCCGCTGTGAGCAAAACTGCCAAGTCAAGCACGGCGCAGAGAAGAAAAGGGAGTGCTGGAGCGCTGTGGATCCTTGAGGTCTTTTCTTTTGGCAAGTATGGCAAGTAGTCCCTGGGATTCAAACCACCATCAAAACAATGGGGGCTCATATAACCACCATTGCTTACCTAAGGATTGTCATCATCCAAATTGGGTCAACCTTTCTTTTCATGGGGTTGAAGCCCAGGGTAGTCGTAGCCCAACAAAGCGAGTTCATTCCGCACAGTCTGGGCTCCCTGAAGGATTTTGCAAAAGGAGTCAACCGGGTTCTTTCAGCTGGTTGGAGCGTGAAAACCCCAGGTTTCAGTTCAAACCTTGGTGGTCACCTTTTGGAACCTGCGCAAAGGCCAGCAATACCTATGGGACGGAATCAACTGGAATGCCTGCAACTAGAAAGCGCGTCTCCTCGAGGTTTGGGACAAGTCAGTGACGACTTGTGCCAGGAGATCCTGGCATACATTGACAATGCTTTCCAGCGCATCGCTTCCCACAAATCTGAGACAGCCGACCAGAAACCTTGTGACGCGTCAAACAAACGACCCAACCATCAACCGGTCGAATTCGGGCACTCGACAATGCATGGGCCTTGTTATTTGAGCGCCACTTGGTTGGACCGTTAACCTCTAGTTTTTAGGGAAATGTGTATTTGACCACAGCCGCAAGAAACCTGGTTTCCCAGTGCTCGCCAAAATGCTAAGCTGTTCTGCCAAA